ATCTATGAGTCTTGTTAACCTTGTTAAGTGGATGTCTAGGAGGGACCCTAAGCAGAGAAGGGGACAAACATCACTCTGTGCTGACTTTAGCCCCCTGCCCCTGCTGTGCATGCAGGTCACGCACGCTGACCATGGAGCTTGCCTAGACTGTGTGTGTGTGTGTGTGTTTGTTTTGAGGCTCGGTTAGACAGAGCTGGATTGAACTGAAAGGGGAGTGACATCATCTTGGTTGAAAGAAGCAAGGTTATGGTCAGATATCAAGGAGGCAAGCGTATCTTATTGCGTCAAGCTCTACTGTCTGGAACTCTACTAACTAGAACATGTCTGTCCTGCTCAAACACTCTCAGTGGCTTCCTGAATGAAGTCCCTTGGCCAGCCCTCAGCCTTCCACAAGCTGACCCTGACCTACCTTCCCAGGTTTCTTTCTCACTAAGTAGCAATAATAATAATAACATTTGCATTTGTCTATTACTTTATAATTTACAAAATGCTTTCACATTCCGTATTTCTTTGAATCTCCTCAGTAACCATTTTTAGAGATGAGGATATAGGCCCTTTCACTCATCAGGCAAAGGGACCTGCCTAGAGTCTCTACCCCAAGAGTAGACTGTGGCTTTGGCAGTCTGTGTGTTATCATTTGGAATATTTGCTGCCCCTCCCTACGGTTGGGTTACACTTTCCTACCCCGTTGACTTGAGGCTTTGGCATGGACTTGCTTTGGCCAATGAAATGTGAGCATAAGTGGCATGTGTCACTTCTGAGTCAACTTGTGGTTTGCCATGTGTCTCTTTTCTCTGCAGGAGACTCACAAAATCCCAGGTAGGGGCTACTTCTGAGTCCTAGGTCCTGGAGTAAAGTGGACATGAAGCACAGTTAGAACCAGCCGACGTGTCCACCAGGGACACATCACATGAGTGAGAAATAAACTATTATTGTGGTAGGCCACCAAGATGTTGGGGTTACCTGTTGTCACATGGCTAAATCTAGGCTCACCACACACTGGTAAAATATGGCATAATCCCAGACCTTCTGAAAGTGCCCCTTCTCCCACATTTGTCCCCTGTATTCCAGGTAAATCACCCTGTTTGCTCTTACCTCTATGTCTTTTCTCATCCTGCTCCTTCTGGCTGGAATTTTGTTGAAATCCTACCCATCTTCCAAAGTCAAGCTTGGGATTCACCTCTTCTGTAATGCTTTCTCAGATCCATACTAATACCAAACACTTACTCAGGGTTTACTGTGTGCCAGCTACTAGTCTAGCACTTTACTTGTTTTAATTCATTTAATCTTCACCCTATGAGATATGCCCTATTACTGCCCGTACAAGGAGAAGGGATGTAAACCAGTTTGTCCAAGATCACACAGATGGTAACTGGCAGAGTCAGGACTCAAACCCTGCATTCCATCCCTGCAAACTACTTCTCTCTCTGTTCCCTGTTACATTTCTACACACCGCTTCTCCTCAACTGTAGAACAGCTGCTTTATCTGACTGACCACATATTCTTGATCTGGATTTGTGTATAAATTCTATCACTGGCTGGTGGGTGACCTTGGGCTAGTCAGTTAATTTCACTGAGCCTCAGTTTCCTCTTTGTATCTCCCACAGCTCCTATTAAGGTGCCCAGTAAATACTCACTGACTGATTGACTAAATAGATGAGCTCTGTGAGCCTTGGTTTGCCCATTTGTAAAATAGGAGTAAAAATGGCACCTCCTTCATAGGGTTGTTGTGGAGTTTAAAGATGCCTAGCACAGGGCACGGTCCATGGTGAGAATCCAATACAATTAGCTGTTATTACTATTATATGCTGTTGGAAAGGTAAATAATATAGTACAGGGAGAAAAACTTTCTTCTCACTACAGGGATTGGGGAAAGCTAACTTCATGGCAGAAGTAACGTGAGTGGACTTTGAAGAATGGATAGAATCTGGACACAGAGATGAGATGAAAGGAAGGCATTTTAGACAAAGGGAACAGCATAGACAAAGACATAGAGACAGTGTAAGTCTTAAAATCTCAATCCTCCTTCCCCCAGTTATACCATTTTTAGGGTCAGATCTAAGGAAATAATCCTAAATCTGAGAAAATTTTTATGCATAAAGATGTCCGCTGCAGCATTATTTATAAAAGCGAGAACATGGAAATAACTGGTATGTCTAACAATAGGGAAGTGGTTAAATAAATGATCTTATATCCATCTGATATATTATTGTATATATATAATTATAATATGTGTATTATATATATAGTAATTAAATATATGAGATGTAATAAGGGAAAAGTTTATGAATGATGCTATGTGGGAAAAAAATAAAATGAAAAAGCATTATGGTTACAACTATATAAAAACAAATTTCAAACCCAAAAATAATACACAGAAAGCCTAGAAAGAAATATACTGAATTATTAATAGGAGTGGCTTCAGACTAGTGGGCTTTGGTGACTGTTCTGGGAGATTTAAAAGTTTTCTTGCTTACATTAATCACTATTTTATTATTACAGCTAACTTTTATTGAGTGCTTACTAGGTACTAGGCACTGCACTAATATTTTACATATATTATCTCACTTAATCCTTACAACCCTATGAGGAAGGTTCTCTTTAAACTATTACAAATAGAGAAACAAAGACTTCTATATTAATGTAATGGGCATATATTGCTTTTATGGTAGAAAAACATATGTTTACTACATTTATTTAATATTTTATTATTAAAAGATAAGAGATTCAGATTCCACCCCCCACCCTTTTTTTGGCTACTTCAAACAGTGTTAAAATAAACATTGTTGTGCATATTTCCTTATGCATTGGTACTCTTATTTCCATAAATTACGTCTCTTATAGTGATATTTTGAGTCCAAGTGTATGTATATTTAATTTTGAACTAATTTTAGACTTAGAGAAAAGTTGCCAAAACGGTGCAGAGATTATTTGGCAATAAAAAAGAATAGAATACTGATATATGCTACAACTTGGATGAACCTTGAAAACATTATGCTAAGTGAAAGAAGCCAGCCACAAAAGGTCACATATTGTGATTCCATTTGTATGAAGTGTCCGGAACAGGTAAATCCATAGAAACAGAAAGCAGATTGGTGGTTGCCTAAGACTAGGTCAAGATGGAGAATGTAGAGTGAGTACGTAATGGATTCGAAATGCTTTGAGGTGATGAAAATGCTTTGAAAATAGATAGTGGTGATAGGGGCACAACTCTGTGACTATATAAAACCACTGAATTGTACACTTGTACAGTTTAAAAGAGTGAATTTTATGGAGTATGAGATAGATCTCACTGAAGCTATTATTTTTGGAAAAAAACAGCTCAGAGAGTCCCTATATACCCTTGCCCTAGACTCCCCTAATGTTCACACTGGGAAATGATTGGATAAGTTGGGGTACAGCTATACTATGGAATAGCAAAAATACAGAATTGTATGATTCCTTTTTTCTTTTTGCTAAAAATTCTTTAAAAGAAATGAAAACCCTTTATATGTGTGCATATGTTTTCTTATGTTTGCAATAGCATACATAAAGTCGTAGAAGTATGCAAGTAAACTTAATATTAGTTACTCAGTGGCAAAATTAAGAGAGGACAAAGGGAGATTATGCAGTTTGTTTTTATAACCCTCTATGTTGTTTAATTTAGTATCAAAGGGCATGTAATTTTTGTAACTTTTTCAATTTAAAAATATTAAGGGAAAAAATAGGCAAAGAATTCTGCCCCTAGATCTTCCCACTAGACAGTTCTCCTTAGGTTTTAAGCAACGCAACGTATATTGAAATCACACATGGAGGGTCCTGCACACCCGCTCCTTGGAAAGATGGAATGTGGGCTGAAATCCTGGGGGAGGGAGGGAGGAGTAGGAGTCCTAGTTAAGATGAAAGCTTCTGGGTTGGGCTGTATTCGAATCCAGCTCTCTGCCACCTACTGAGCTCTGGGACCTTTGGCCATCTACTTAACTCCTCTGTACCTCAGTTTCCTTATCTTTAAAATGGGAGTAATTAGGTGACCTCTTTCATTGGGCTATGGTGAGAATAAAATGAGATCGTACATGGAAGATGGCTAAGACAGTGCCTGGCACATAATATTCAATAAATGACAGGCATTATTATTATTAATATTATTTACAGTAGGCACTGCCCAATTGTTTAAGGAGTGGGGAATGGTGGCTATAAAAATCTAGCGGGGAGGAGTTGGCCTGGTGGCATAGTGGTTGAGTTCACACATTCTGCTTTGGCAGCCCAGGGTTCATAGGTTCAAATCCATGCTTGTTAGGCCACGCTCTGGCGGCATCCCACGTAAGGTAAAGGAATATTGGCACAGATGTTAGCTCAGGGCCAATCTTCCTCACAAAAAAAAGAGAAAAAAAATTTAGTGGAGGGAACAGCAATCTCAACTTTGCTAGGCCTATGCTTCCCAACACATGGGTTAATGTGCTCTATGCCACCAAACTGAGAACTGACTTTATTCATGCTGGTGTTATACCCAGCTAAAATAAACAACTACATTTTCCAGCCTGCCTTGCAGCTAGGGGTAGGGGAAGTCTTAGGTGAGATTTCCCTTTGGAAAGATGCCCTTTTGTTCTTCACTCCCTTCTGCCTTCCTGTGGTCTGGATCCTAGATAATGGCTGGAGCACTATCAGTAATCTTGAGCCATGCAGTAACCATGAGGAAGGAAGCCACGCCCTTGGGATGGTGGAGCAGAAGCACAGAAGCCTAGGTTCCTGATGACCCTGGAGCTGCCGTGACGGCCCCAACTTGACTTCCTCTGGACTTCCTTTATGTGAGTCAGAAATAAAGCTCTATCTTGCTTAAGCCCCTTTTCTGAGTTTTCTGTAATATGAAAATAAACCTAGACCTAACTAAAAGAATTCTCACAAAATAACTAAGCTAAAAAGCAAAAGCTCATAGTGAAGAGGTGGCGAGGGTGTGACTTGGGGAGGGGCTGGCTGCCTTCTCCTGGGCGAGGCTGAAGGTGAGGATTGGCCTGGGGACTTACTCGTCACCAATGTACAGCTTGGGCCAGACTTCATTGACGTGGGTGTACTGGGGACTGCCTTTCCAGAAGAGGCGCTCCAACTCGAAGGCCCCAGGGGCGCAGTAGTCTGCCTCCTCCTCCTCCTCTGCCTTCGGCAGCAGCCTCCGGGCAGATGGGCAGGCATTCTTGAGGCTTGTCTTCGGTTCTCCGGATGTCATTTTGGAGCCAAGGGATTTGCTTTCCTTTCTGCAGCTGGTCATGAGAGAAAGTCAGGACTGGGGTTAGCAGGGGACAGAGGTAGGAAATGGGCTTCACAAAGAGAGGTAGGGATAAGCTGATCTTAAGCTTTGGCAGGCATTTCGCTGGCCTGCTGTGTTCCTGCTTCCTCTTCCCAGGCCACAGAGGCAAGCAGGGAGGCCATGATGACAGTTAAACAACACTTCCTCAACATTCCAGTCTCCACCAGAGCAAGAGTGCTGGGCACCCTCTGACGTGGGCTGAGGAGGATTTGCCACAGACCAGAGGTCGGCTTCAGGCCTAAGAAATCCCTGCAGCAGCCGGTCTCTTGCCTCCTTTCCTTTAGATTTTACCTCTTCTTTAGTGCCTACTTTTTCCTTTATCTGAATGGAATCTGCTGGTTTGGGCCATTTGGAACCCGAATAGGAAGGCCCAGAAGGTCCCTGCCATTCCAGGTTGGTGGTACTCAACATGCGCAGAGAGCCGTCGGCCACTGGAAGGGGCACATCTGGAAATCCAGAGCCTGTGTAGTCTGGGAGCCATATACATTCTTGGGGCTTCAGAAGCCGTAGGGTTGTGAGAATTAATAAACAGAAACCTCCTTTAAAATGGAGTCAGGAGGCTACAGACCCCCACAGGCAGAGCCATACCTTGCATCTCTGGACAGGAAGTGATACTACTTTACTACCCTGGCAGAAGGAAGGAAGAAATTCCTTCTTGTCCCGCAAGAGCTCAGCCAATAAGAGACTGCCATAACTCAGCTAATGAAAAGTCACTATACTTCAAACTCTCAGTTTCCTCCAATAGACTCTCTGTTAATAACAGCCCTGCCCAACTTCATAAAGAATGTTTGTCTCCTTTGTTTTCCCAGACTTGCCTGAGGTTCACAATAGACCATGTCCCAAATTGCAATTCTTTGTTCTTCCAAAATAAACCCATTTTGCTGATTAAGAAAACTGGCTGTTTATTTGTTTTCGATCAACAGAGTAGGAGGAGATTTGGCTGTGTGAGGGTTAGTCAGCTTGTTAAGACAGTTGAAGTCACTGTTTGCCGCTCACACACTAGGAGGCTGGTGGTTGTGCTGACTTACTAGGGGTTCAGAAGAGATGTTCCAAGGTAGAAAGCTGGGTTTAGAGATTGACACGTGTGTTTGGAGAGCTTGTCAGGGTCTGCAAGTGAAATGCAGGAGAAGAGTGTCCACTGTCCCCAAGGAAATGAATTCACTGTGGAATTGGGCAGGTTTGTTCCCTGAGTTGAACGACTGATACATCTACACTCAGACACCCTTGGAAGGGAAGTTATGCTCCTGGTGCTCTGAGACTGGAAGGAAGGAGTAAAAAGTGAGGTAACTGAGAAACATGGAGGTGAGTGATGGGGAGGAAATATTATTTATTTAGTTAGCAAATATTTATGTAGCACGTATTTTATGCCAGGCACTGTTCCAAGTGCTCTACAATTATTAACTCATTTAATCTTCTTAACAACCCGAGGAGATAGGCGCTATTATTATCTCCATTTTACAGATGAGGATGATTGTAAGTTGAGAATGTTTGTAACACACGGTCTTTGTCTTCTGAGAAGTAATTGCTGAATGGGAAGGGGTAGGGTGGGGGATGCAGTGTGAGGAGGGGCAGGCCAGGGATCTGAAAAATGTAAAAAAGAGTTGGTAGTTCCAAGACCACTAGGATCATGTGAAAAGGACTCAGAATAAACTCAAAGAGGCTCCCTCTTGTCAAAAATGGAACAATTTGAACATGAATAATAAAAACAATTGCAGCGAATTGAAACATGTCAAACATCGAAATAGTAATGATACTTAAAACAACTGTTCACTGTTGGAAGATGCTAGAGAACCAGCTCGTTATTTTGCAGATGGATAAGTAAAGGGAAAGAATCCAGCATTTATTGTTCCTTTCTGATACAAACTGTACTACTGGGTAGATGAGGGAAATTTTATCTTTTATAGAAGTATTCCAGGTAATAAAGAAGGAAGAAAGCACCATTTTATAACAGCCAATGAGCTAACGGACGTAGGCATTGAATATTGACTGCTAGTAACATAAGAAGAGATGATCAGACATTATGGGCCCTCTGATGGAAGAACGTACCACCACCACAAAAGTAGTCTCACCAAAGAAAAACCTGAATCTTTGATCAGAGTCTTCAGAGTCTAGATCTAAATACCAATTTGCATGAGATTCAGAGGACAGTTAAGTTACATCACAGGGCCTTATCTTTTAGACACATATACTGAAATACTCAGATGAAATGATCTAATGTCTGGGATTTGCTTCAAAGACGATATAGTTGGAAAATGTAATAATATATTGTGTGTGGGGTGGGGAGTATAGGTGGAGGTGCGATGAGGCAGGATTGGCTGTGGATAATGGTGGTTGGGGTTGGATGATGGTCGTAAGGTAGTTACTGTTTCTCTTTGTATGTGTTTGAAATTTCCATTAAAAAGTTTTAAAAAGAAAAAGAAGGGGTTGAAAGCACTTCTATGGAGAATTTGATTCTCCCACGTTCACAGTAGATAAATTAAAGGATCACTAGCTAGCAGTGTGTGTCTTTGAGGATCGTGGGAAGGCAGGATCTGTAACTTTCTTCTGCAAAATCCTGAGTTGGGGGTTGGGAGCAATAGGCAGCAGGGGTGACCCTTCTTTGGGGTCTGTCAAAGTGTGATCTAAAGACCACTTCTCTCAGACTCATCCAGCACTTGCTAAAAATACAGATTCCTGGGTTGCACCCTGGACTGGGGTAAGGGCCTAGGAGTCTGTATTTTCACAAGCTCCCAAGTGAGTCTGATGCTCACTGAAATTTGATAATTGCCCACGAGTAATATGGCTAAAGAGTCAGGAGCTGTTAAGTCAGGAGAAGGGTAGTAAGGGTGCTCAATATACTTTCCATCTTCTCACTGAAGTGGAGGCCAGGTCTTCAGCCTAGAAGGAGGGTGCAGGACTGGGAGGAGTGAGGGGCTGGACGACCTTCCTCTGGGCTCCTTGAAGACAGCTCCTTAGAGTTCTTTGTCTCTGTAGACTCAGTGTCTGACATGGGGGAGGTGTTTAGAAAGTATTTGTAGTATGAGGAAATGGCTTGGTGAATGAATGAAATGAGTGAATGAATGACTCAGGGAGTGAATAAATAAAGAACTGTGAGCCTGCTAGGGACTCAGCCAGAGCTGATGAGGCAGGACTGAGCCTCTGGGCTAATTTGGAAGTGGGGTGAACGTGAGCCGAGTGCAGAATACAGGATGGACAGGCCCCTGTAGTGGGTGGTTGCTCAGGCATGAACTCCCTTCTGGGGCCTGCCTGCTGGCATTTCCAGTCACAAAGTGGGGAGTTGTTTCAAGGGATGGCCAGAAACTTCTGTGGCAGGAACCAGCACAGACACCTCAGGATCCTAAGAGTGCCATTATAGCTCTGCTTGCTTCAGGTCCAGGCACCTTCATTTTGAGAGGTCTGGAGCTCAGCCTGTCCATGGCACCAACTCTTTTTATTTCAAAGTAAGTAGAAGCTGGGCACCATATACCTAAATTTGGAAGTTTAGGCCATTTTGAACCACTAAAGGAAGCTTCAGAAGAGGTGATTTAGGGAGATGCTGGAGTAAATTGCATTCTGAAACTTCTGCTTGCCTCCTTTGATCACTGAAGCTGACCTCACCCTTGCTGAGGCCCTTCCTCCTTCATTATCCTGTGGAAGGAGCCATCCCCATCCCCATCTCCGTGCTGAAAGCCGCGGCTGAATTTCCAGACAGAAGAGGAAGTGGTGTGGCCTACCCAGAGTGGCTTGGCATGCACAGGGAGCTCTGGGATCTATTATCCTCCAGCACGCAGATTTGATGGGGAATGAGAACAAAGCACAGAACTGTCCAGAAACCACAGACCTGTAATCTTTCCAAATCCTGAAGGCGGCCTGTGTGCATCCTCTCTGCATGGCTCCCAAATCTCTGAACCTCAGAGAGGCTGGAGCGTCTGTTTCCCAGATCACAGCCAAGATGGAAGGGGAAGACAAATCTGTTCTGTTTGGTTTCCATAGATTTGACCCAGAGATTAACTGCCAAGGTCTTGATGACACACACAATATCTATCACAGGCTAAATGTCATAATGAGAGCTGGGCAGGTTGTCCAGAAAGGCCTCCAGGTTCCTGCTGCAGCTTCATATTTAAAGGTTTGGCCCGAGGAAACCAAATGCCAACTTGAAGGCTACTTGGCCTATTGCAGCATCAGCCTGCCTCCTCCTCAGAGCAGCGCAAACTCAGGCTCCTTCCTAGAGGAGCCAGGCAGGTAATACAGAGCAGGGAAGTGGACTGGGTATGTAAGAATAAAACGAACAAGCAAAAACCTAACTATTGGCTTCAAGCTGGAGACATCTGGGAGTAGTGGGGACTGTGGCACACTAGAGAGCAAATGCCCTCTCTGAAGGGGCAGCCACTTGCCATTCCATGTGAGAATGCAAGCCCGGATTGTCTGATATTTTTATGAGAAGTCAGAAGGCAGAGTTTCATGAGAAACCTGCTGATTTTTTTTTTTTTTTAAAGATTTCATTTTTTCCTTTTTCTCCCCAAAGCCCCCCGGTACATAGTTGTGTATTCTTCATTGTGGGTTCTTCTAGTTGTGGCATGTGGGACGCTGCCTCAGCGTGGTCTGATGAGCAGTGCCATGTCCGCGCCCAGGATTCAAACTAACGAAACACTGGGCCACCTGCAGCGGAGCGCGCGAACTTAACCACTCGGCCACAGGGCCAGCCCCAGAAACCTGCTGATTTTTAAATATAGGCAGCTGTAGCAGATGCTATCCTTGTCCCATCCCATTCCTCGGCTCAGATCACTGCAGTGTAAGTGGACAGTTCCCTTATACACAAAAGGTTTCCTCCTGCAAGCCCCTGAATCTCTTGGCTTGTGGGTATTTTCTGGTCTTTGCACTAGTCAGATCTGAAGCATGGGGAAGTGCTCACAGAAGCTATTGCCAATGAGGGGCAGGAGTTGGTGGATAAATACGCCAGCTTCCCCCACCCTG